ATGTATATTCTTTATAATCTTTTTTGACAACGATTCACTTAAAGTCTAAGGTATGTATCTTAAAGAAACATAATGCTGTTGTTTTATGGAGATTAGTTTGTTTCGAGCCTCATACAAAAACATTTCTGTGAAAAACTAATTGATATCAGGTATTTCAGAATTAAAGATTTAATGTAAAAAACAACATGAAACCTCCAATTACTTTCAATGAAGATTTTTTCTGGAAAATTTTAAAACAACAACAAAAAAACTAATCCAGAGGTCAAGCAGGTGCAAATCAATTATAGAGACTATATTATATCTGTTACTTTCAACACTTCTCTTCTACCAGTAAAAACGTGAACCCACTAAGTAACATACTTTTCTGATAGTTTTTCAATACAGTTTAACAAACCAATCGACATTAAATGCTGTTATATGTATAATCAAACAGTGATGAATATGTAAAGTATAAGTAAGCTAGAAGTCTAAATAACAAATCATCATTAATCTGTTTAGCCTATAATCATTTCATTTATTCCTCGACGTTATTGTTTCCCTGATGATATCTTATATCTTGGTATCGAAAAAACAATCAAACAAGTGTAGTAACTACTGCCAAGGAAAATATATTCTTAGACATTGAAAAGTAAAACAATCGTATAGCAGAATTTATGATGAAACCATGCGGAAAAAACATTTCCCGCTCGTTATTCTGTCAACAAATTAAGCTTTTTTTTATCATTTAGTAGTGAAAGTTACATTATATATAATATTTTGATATCTAATTAAAACGTTTTTGTCAATTAGAAACTTCATGTTTATTAAAATTAACATTAGAGACTTTAAAATTGTTTTGGAAAGGATGTTTTTCTTTTTCAGAAACTTGTTAACCAAGCTTCTTCATTAGCAGAGTAAAAACAACTTATTTTCAAGCGTGAACGAATAGGGACTTTCATGATCTAATGAAAACCAGATTTTCAATAACACTAATAACCCCCCTCTAATCTCGGTGTTGAAAATATTTTCAATAACGGAGAAAAATGACAACTTTAGTAGAGTTAGCAGAGAGGGAGAATTTCTAATATCGTATCTTACAAAATAAAGGTTTAAAATTACTTTGTTAAAAAAATTAATTATTAAGCCCTTACGAGAAGTAGTTACATTCCATGCAGAAGCTGGAAAATAGCTGAAATAAACTGGTTATATCTAAGGCTCTGGCGAAGAGTACATTGTGTCTACCTGGTGTTGAGAAAAAATTGACTTCTAGCAGGTGACGACTAATGCATATACTCCAACAGTTGGCGAATACAGACTATTATTTTGCAGTACTCTTGAGAGAGAGAGAGAGAGAATAATTATTTAAGAAAGGTCAGTCTCTACAGTTAAAGTATCTGCGAAGGAAGAGGGTCTTTCTTTATGTAAGCTGAATCAGGATGTTGTATTTCCAAGAATGTTGTACTTTTATATCTGACGATGTATGGCTATGATCTAGAAATTCACAAATAATGAAGTTTTCATTAGCGGGTAAAAATATATATATATATTATAGATTCTGATAAAGTAGATTACACCTTTCAGAAACATTCGTAAATGTGTGCTAATACACCAGTTTCCTAACGTCTAGCAAATACAGAAGGTTAAGTGTGATATATTAAAACATTTTGAATATGTAAATCAGCAAGTCACTTGGCAAGCATAGCCGACATAAAGTTGCAGTGAACAAATATATATCAGGATTTAATGTTACTTAGGTAGTATGATGTCACGAAAACCGATCGCTTTCGAGAAAAGTATGTGATAGATGTGTTGAGATCGGAAATTTGGGATCTCTAAGATAGGAGTATCCCTTATCGTTAATGGCATTGAAAAACAAATGAATATGGGTCAACTTGACCACCATGACCATGGAGAAAGAGACCTGTAACAAATCGTACCTCAGTAAAGGTGGTGAGAAAATGACGTCTTGTAACAAATGTGAATCCTTGAAAACGAAGGTCAGTAGTGAAAGCCGTCCATGTAACAGTATCCAACAAAACATCTTCGTCTGTAAAAGTGACAAAAATCACATTTACACAAGTTTCTTCCATGACATATTTTTTCAAGCAGTCAGAGAATGAACCGGGTACTCATGCTGTTCCATAAGAACATATCCCAGTCATGTCGTCGGAATTTGCTCGATAGAACTGTTGAAAAGGAGGTTGCTTTAGGCATGATAACCTTACGACGGAGCCTTTTGCAAGGGAAACTACGCTGAAGCGCTATTACCATGATGTACTGTCATCAGAGAATGTCCGGACGTAACAGCTTTTACTGTAACAACGTAATAAGCATTTTAACATAACATACTCAATCTCTTTATTATCATGATAGGATTTGTGCCAAAGAACTGATATGCAATTAATACTGATTTTTTTTTCTCGTATGATCAATACGTGCAATGAGCTATGAGAAATTTCCGAAGCGTATTGTATGCACATAAACTTGTAGAAGTAGTTTTAATTGAAATTTTATATATTGATTGCAGGAGAATTACTTAACAAGATTCATAAAAACATAAAGTGCACTATCATGGTATTAAACAAGAAGAGAGATTACAGCAGTTGTTGGAGGAAAAAGAAAAGAAAGAAGAAGAGAGACAACAGCAGTTGCAAGAAAACCTGCAACAGTGGCAGCTCGAACGAGAAAAATAAACAAGAAGAGAGATTACAGCTGTGATAATCAGTCACGAGTATGAATATTTTTAGCCTATATAAAACTAGAATTCTGGTTCGTTAAAATGAGACAACTTACTGCTAAAAATCTTTTATGCAGAAATTAAAAATCACTCTTCTGTGAGTATCTGAGTAAAATAGAATCTACCATTCACTCGATTGTTCTTAAGTTAACATTATCCAAGCGAACACAATATTGTTGAAGGGGTTAAAGTAGGGGCTACAGGATTTCAAGTAAACTAACTAGTTTCGGAGGGTCAAGTAGTGTAAATCCTTTGTACAGACAATTCTCGAAAGGCGATGAGGAGTGAAGCTACCAAGAATATGTAAAAGGAGAATGTCTAAACAACATTATTAACTATGATATTCTTTTCAAGAATAACACAATCAATAATGGTATTATGTAAGGTTTTCTCTTAATTCTGTATTTCAAAGCAATTACTTGACATAATCGAAAGTTTTTGAAGTAGTCCATTAAACTTACTAAGTGTGAAGTTAAATATGAAGATAATAAAATTTACATTAAAAATAATATGATGATATAAAAGCCACATACATCACGTACAATGATATGCTACAATGTTTTTAAACACTTTTTGGGATTAATTTATTTGTGTCTGTGCTTTTATCGTAGAGGTGTACCCGTAATTAACTATTTTCCTAGACTCTACGCCCCTCTGCTGGTGTTGGTGCCTTCTATGGACAATTTTGTGTCGCTGTTTAATTGGGTAAAGTATATGGATCGAAAGATTACAAAGAAAAACCAGCATGATTTATTAAAAATTTAGTGCAAAGTTCATGTATATAATTAGTTAGGACTTTCTGTTAACGATAACTAGAGAAACATATATAATGTAATAACACATCTCAGAGTAAACACAAAAACATTTTATCTTGAACTCGAGCTGTTGAAGTGGCTTTTAGATGTGAATACTTAATTTAGTTTTTAAATATGGTGTTCAACTGATAACATCCCGTTAATATTTCAATGTATTATATGAAATTTTACTTGACTAGAGTGTTATTGTTTGATAATTCAAGTTAGCAGTTTGAGGTATAGACGTTTTTTTTATGAGCATGAGCTAAAATACTTGTTCTAGCATTTAATGTTATAGACAATATTCATGATGAAGTTATAAAAAAAGTATAAGAGACGCACTTTCAATTGTGTAAATGAGAAACTTTGTCCTTGGAAACTAATCTGAAAACATCTGGAAATCATCATCGTCGTTCATCTAAATACATATGAAAATATCATAACAGTGTTTAGGTTAAGCAATTCGCATTTCATTTTCTGTTTGTTGTTATTTTGTCATTTTGTAACTGCAAATCTAAACTATATGTATAAACAGTCGGATAGCATTGGTAGAAATTCTCTATCTTTTGAAAAAGTAGTTTCATTCAAGTTCTTAATATTTCAGGTGTAAATAGCCTTATTTGGATTTTCATACCTCATATTCAAGTGGCCACAGCACTTTTAAAAATTAAAGCACTTTGTTTAATGAAATTATTCTGTTTAAAGGAAGTTTTTGATTTAAAATTTTGTAACAAGCGTTAGTTTTAGTTTCAGATAGAACTAAACATATGTTTGATCGACGTCAGCATGTATATGTGGATGTCCAAGAAGTGTAAAAAAGAGACACCCAATAAGAAGAAAGGAAGTGTACGAGGAAGCAGTCGGATTACTGTAATTTACTCACGTGAGCCGGTGTGATATAAATATATGTCTGGATCAAGAATGGGCATTTCACAAGCTCTTTGGTTTAATGTATTTCCAACCGATAATCCAATTCCTCAACCATAACTGCTAACAATAGGGACTGATAGATCAAAGCAAATGTTGAGGGGTAGAAACCTCGATAATCTACGCTTCTGGGTAGCGAATGGCCTTCTGAACCTTCCAAGGTAGCGAAGTAGTCTCGTGACGTACCCTGCGCCCTTTTCCTATTTGGTCTCGTGCCAGACTTTTGCTATCTTACCCCTCGTTCAGCCTTTTTCGTTTTGCCATCCCGCAGAGCCACGCTGCATTCGGATAGAAGACCTTCTTTTGTATTACTCGTCCGATGCAACAGGGGTTCAGGTACATATGTGGTGATGGCGCGGGTGGATGTCACCTTTCAATGTATGCAGTAATATTAAGAACTCCAACTTTACATGATCTTATTATATCTTCTAAAAACATTTCAAAGAAACATTCATCGTGAGGTTTGTAAGATGTTTACCATCCAGAAGAGCTTTCCTGTAATCCCAACAAGTGAAGTATTATTTTAAGCATGCCCGCGTTGTGGTTATACGTTTTCTCACTTTTTTCAAGTTCGACTCGTTAAAGGTTTTCGTCTGCTAACTATGAGGACTTGTATCGTCGGCTGGTTATCACTAACCTTTCTGTTTGTCTGGAGCCGGGTAACAGCAACCATGACGTGTTTAGATGACAAATTAGATGTTGCTTCCAAAGCTTACCTTGCTCCAATTGTGTTTCAGGGTCGTCTTATAAGATTGCAATATTCTCCAACCATTAAGAAATTAAAATTTCGTGTCAAGAAAATTTACAAGAACGACAAAGATGTATCGCTTCAGAAAAACTATGCTGTTTACCTGAACTTTCTCACTAAGAACTCTTGCCTCAACACTTTCAAAATAAAAGACTTTCAACGAAAAGGGAAATTCGTCGTTTTTGCATCAGCACAACCACCAATACAACCCAGAAACTCCTTTAAAAAAAGTTTTGTGGCTGTCGCTATGCCATTAAGGTTGAATCGAAAGACAGATAGAACAGTGAGGAAAATATTGTGCCAAGGATGTGGTAAGTCTCAGGATTATTAGTTTATTTCCTTTTTGATTTAAATTAAATACTTGTTATATGTATAACAAATGTACAAAAGATATATTTTCGACATCTAATTCCTGTTTTCTTCAACATCAACTCACTTCTGTTTTGTGAAATTTCAGCACTTCATTCCAGTTTTGTTCAATATATGCAACTCATCCCTGTGCTGATGTATTTCAGTATTTCAAACTGAAATTTGAAAACCTGAACTGGGTTACTTAAGAATAATGAGTAAACTTATTTATATATTCGACTTTTTGTCAACTTTCTCAACTTGTGTCAAATTCGGTGTTATATAACATGTAACTTGAAGTCCTAATTGTTCTGCCTTTTCCTTATCAAATATGCATGCATCGATATTTCGAAAAACATTATATATCTTGTGTAGTTTTTATTTACACTCTTTATTTAATGGTTATTATTACTAAACAATGGTTGGTTGTGTTGGTATAATCATTGAATTTGTCTAAACATTTCATATCGAACGAAGAATGAAACATAATAATTCAGCAACAAAATCCATGCTACGACCAGATTCAATTTATCTTCAACCTCTTTATTCCTCTTCAGTTGAATCCATTAAAACTAAAACTAAACTGTTTATATAATTACTTCTAGCGTATCAAGGTTTTTGGAAATCGGCTCTTTTTCGCCATCTTTTCTTATTTTACCTGACGTAATCTGGATCTACTCTAGTAAATAAATGGTTATTCGAAAATATAAAGTTTGAGTTATTTCTTTATAAGTGCCTCAAATATGCTAAGAAACATCTGAAATCATTATCGAATCATAACAACAATGTTAGGGGATACAACAATAGACATAATAAAACGTTTGATTAATGACTTCATAGTAGTGTAAAGTGTAATAGACAATTCTGTGCGTACTGACAGTGAAGTTAACATTATTCTATGTACAGCTATCATTCGTTGGTTTGGGGAACAAACTGACACTTTTAACGAATGTGTATTTATCATCTTTTGCACTTGTTTGTATATCTAGTTTATCGACGTCATCTGATCGACTGATGACGTGAAATTTGATAATGCGTGTGTTTTATAACATTACATGATACCTAGAAAAACACACATATTATATGTAAGTTTTGTTATATTTCTGTTTATTCGTATTTAAGGCATCAAGTAATTTCAGATTGAAAAAGTAAGTATGCCGTTTTTTGAACTGACATTGGAATAGATTGTGACTTGGCCACGTACATGTGGTAATCGATATCTCAAGTTCTTATTTAGCTTTAAGAGACACCACTGGTTTTCCCTCCCGCTAATAGGAACATAAACCAGTAGTGACTGAAATATCAAATGTTTGCTTGATTGTTTGTAATATTTGGTTTTGGGTGAGTTATAAACACCATAAATAGCAATAATACAACCAACGTGTTTATTTCACAGAGAAACAAAATTATGGCTAACTTTAAGTTTTAAAAATTATATAGTATTGATAAAGTCTGAAAAAGAAGACAAAATATGAAACAAGATATATTTATTTCTTAAACTACCCGTCAACCAACCGCACAACTTGTTTCTGACATCAGCGTAATTCATCATTCAAATAAGAGCGAATTTTATGTTCGGTGTCATTTATAGAAAAAAAAAACAACATGCGCACACTGAAAAATATATGTACTATTTACTTCACCGCTTTTGTTTCTTTCCAAAACATAAGGAGTTAAGGTGTGTGTGATGTTTCCCCTATATGAATGTAATGGGGCATAGAAATCTTATAAAATAGATTTAAACATGACACTTGTGGTGAAAAAGTCAATTAAGTTGCGCAGAGTGAAAAGGAGTAGTAAGTTAAACTCTCACAGATTTACGCCGATAATTTTCCACTTTCAAACTCTGTTTCAAAATATCTTATTATACCTAATGTCCGTTCTACTGACACTTAGTTAGCGTGAGCAACCTTGTGATCTCTCTGACCCGGCAAAAATAAGTAACACAATAACTTGACATCATTACGACAATTTAATGCAGATCAAAATGTTGTCTTATAAGCTTTGTCGGAAAGCAAGTTATATGTTATCAGATTTCTTATCAAAAGTAAATTTAATTGTATATTCATTACTTTGTTAAATATTCAATCACGAATACAGTATAGTTACATTAAGAAGTCAAGATTATTCTTAACAACGGCATATTTAATCAAAAACCCGCTATCACTCGATAACAGAAAACAGACTGTGCATATAAAAATAGTATATTCTGGACAACCCCATTATTACCACTATCATGAAAAACACGACTGCAGACTCTCATCTTATGCTACGTTTATTTTATGAGAATTAATAACCAAAACAAAAATCCCTCTTTAATGCAGTAATAACCAATGATGTCAAAATAAATCTGTACTAGCTGTAATGACTTTGTGGATGATATCAATTAACATAATTCCACTAGGCAGCTAACCATACAAAAAGTCAATGTATTGTTTGCAGAAACAGCAACTGCAAGCAACTTTTTATTTTTTTATGCAGTATTTGTATTCCCCGTATAACTAGCATACACAAACCTTCACTTACGACAAGACTGTTCTAATACCACAATCACGGGCACCTGTATCCAGGATGAGCGTGTAATCCTGCCTAAGATAACCCAACGATAGAACCTCAGCTAAAACACGTTTTAATCATTGAAATGTTGAGAAAAATATTTTCTTTAACGAAATTGGCCACAAAACATTGGTAGTATGATGAAATTCCCAAAATTCTGTTTAACCACTAAAATCTTCAAAAGATCAGTGACATTCCATTCCTGCTTATTATGTGATCAAGAAACACTTTTTGCATATTTTTAAATACACCCTTTCCTGACTTAACTGTTAAGCCTAATTTTCTTATCTACTGAAACGTCATTTTCAGGTTCTCAGCCTCATACTGGGTTTCTTTCGTTGTTTTCTGTCCTGACTATCTGCAAAATCCTCGATTAGACATCTCAGCTGTTCTGGCAGATATGCATTTGCTCTAAAATGGTACATCTGAATTTCATCACTTCTGCCACAGTAGTACAAATAACCATACAATTAACTAGTCCAGTTGGAATCTCAATACCTACTTGTCTATAGTTATAAACCAGAGCTGGAATAAAGCTAGAACTTGGAACAATAACTGTGAAAACAAGTGCACCTTGGTTAGGGAAAGAAAGTAGTGTGTTTTGTGCATCAGTTCCATCAGCACAGCAGATGGTGGTAACACGACACACTGAACTAATCCCGTATAACACTATGGAAAATTACTTGTATGTTTGAAGGTACTGTCACTCCATTTTCTACATGTATTTATCCAATCCTTTGTTTTTTGCTCTGATTCGTCAGCACTGAGTGGTTTTAGTGCAAAGCTACAGCTAAACTGTCCTAAAGGCTATGGTAGCTGGTAACTTCTGTAACAGGTCCATTCTCTGTAAGTTATCAATGCTCAATCCAAAACCGAAGATAATGACTTTAATTCTGCAAGAGACGTCACTAATAGCAACACAGAATCACACACTTATTTTCTTATCTTTAACTTACCTTTTTTTGCCAGAATAAAGTTAGTATTGACTGGATAGAGTGGTGGCTTCACTTGATGTGCCTGATATACTGCAAGGTTCAACAAAGTGTCTACCAAAACTAATGTCACATGTGTGTATCTTTATAGGCACATACCATGTCTAGGATGAATTGAACTAGTCCCCACAATTTTGGACACAAGTAAACTGTTGTTCCCGCCTAAGTTATTGGCTAGAAACATCCTGCGCTTCTTTAATTTAAACTAGCCAATATAAAAGCAGTGACTTCTTATCATCGACCCTCACACTGTTGTCTGGTTGTTGGCCTTAAGAAGAAAGTTTCTCTTACCCATATTACTTGACAGAATAGGGATGATTGAAGCATAAACTATTCCTCTCACGCAAAGAACCACCTACTGGAAACTGTTTGCTGCAATGAAAATGTTGGGTATCCATAAGTACCCACTGGTAACCAATGTGGTTGTATTACAACTACCGGCAGCGTTTGCTGCAGTTCAATTGTGGATCGAGCATTTAAAGCTTGGAAACACATTGCAATTTCTGGAGCATGCTATTATATGTAGATTTTTGTGTGACATTTTGGCGTTAAAAAAAATGTGCAAAAAATTGACAAGGCAATTTTTGAGAGATAAGACTTGGAATTTCCAAGAGAGCATATTCTATTCAAAAATTGTAGGACCAACGTCATTTCATTGTTCTTTTCCAAAAGTATGAAATTAGCAATAGTACAAAGTTTTAAATTAGCTTTAACTTAAACATTGTTGGAATTATAATAAATGGGTTAGATTTACTTATCAATTATTTTGTGACAGTTTTTACGTTTTGTCAAAACCTGTTTTGTTTTGAAACAATATCAAATCTATTACCACGTGCTCTTAACATGCATCTTTGCAAATTGTATTAATGTATTTCCCATAGCTTGTTTCAAAATAGTCTAAAGTCTTTCTGTTATGTTAGTTGTTGAAATGAGTGCAACCATGCCATTGTAACGTAAAGCTTGTATGCATATTGTGATCTACTTGTTACAAACCAGATTATTTGTCAGCAAATCACAATCACGTCAAAAATATTCAACAAGAGACATAAAGCTATTTGAGCTGTTTCTTTTGCTTGAGTTGTGAAACCTTTAGATAAATAAACTGTTAAAATACATACATGGAGACAAAAACAGTAATGCTCAAAAGAGAGTAATTATTAATGATAACAACATAAACCAATACTGCTATTCTGGAGTATTGAAATGTTTAATGTTTGAAACAAAGTTCTTCAACTGAAAGCGTGCACGTTGAGGTCACACAAAAAACATTGGAGACTTAATTAATTTGCTCTCAAGTCAACTATAATTAACGAAAAATCGAGTTTTTGCTAAAATGATAGCTACATAGTTGCAGACAAGAAGGCAGCAGCCTGAAATTAAATTCTCGACAGGGATCAGGCTTCATGATTGATTTG